TAACATACTATGCAATATAAATATATATTTTACAATAAATTCATTATGGAAACAAATAAAAATAAAAAATGATAAAATTATCGTGGTTGACAATAATATACAAATAAATCAAATATTGAAACTGTAAAGAATAGTTAATATATTTTAATTTTATTATTTAGCCGTTAATAAATTATTTAATGATGTGATCATTATCTCTTAAATGGTAAATTATTTTAGTTTAAAGAAATTATTTGTTTATATAATTAAATAAAGGTTAAAAAATATTATTGAAAATTGTTATTCACCAACTGGATTTCGGCTAATTAGTTAGAGGGAGAATTATTTAACATGTTACGATTGTTTATAAATATTTTAGGATGAAATTTATTTTCATGGTTATGTTGAAAAAAATATTATCAACACCAATTATGAAAAATCAAATTATAGTTTATTATAATGAATATCAGTAAAATTATTGCATATGATAATAAAATTATTCAAAGAAAGAATCTTTTTGATCATATATGATTTGGAAATGTGTATATATTAAAGCAATTAATGCATATATTTAAAAGTTTCCAAATAAAGTATGCATTAAATGCTCATTGACTTTTTTGCTACTATATTTAGTAAATAGTAATTCTTTTTATATAGATATAGATATAGATATAGATATGTAAAAATTATAATGTCGAATTTTAGACCGTAAACACACAAATTGAAAGCTCGACTAAAACTATGAAATAAAAAAAACCAAAAGCTAAGCTCTCAAAATTCTCGGAGAAGTTGAGAATAAATATGATTCTTCTTTTTGTACAATGATGAAGATTTATGAATATATATGATTCTTCTTTTGGTAATATGTCTTCAAAATCTTCAAGGGTGGAATGCTTCCTTCAATGTCAGGTCTTTAATATCTCCTTAACCGTCTTTCACTGGAAGGTCTGAAGTTGTATAGAAACAAGACTTTCCATCAATATGAGATTCAGTCAATCTTGTCCCAGGTCTTTCATATATGCTTGATTCACTTTTCATGTATGCTCAAACTGCGTCCGTATCCCAGTACTGCGTTCTAATCCTCCATGCAAAGTGTTCTTCCAATAAATAAGAAAATAAATAACTAGTTTATCATAATTTAATATAAATAAATAAACATATAAAGGAACTTAAAAGATAGATGATCTTCCTTTTATTTGTCTTGCTCTCTTTCCAAGTAACCTACAAGGAATATATTTAAAATGTACAAGATAATTCGAACGATGTCAATTCAAATATCTAACAATCTTCTCATTTGGCATTCAGTTCGAAAACTCTAATTCTTGTAGTCACAAAAACAAGTTAAGTTCACAACATGACCAAAATAGAGCAGATTAACTATGTAAGAACATCAACAGAAGTTCTTATGCAATCATATCAAAACAGACAGAAATAATCCATTCCCTACATCAAGACAATAAATAAAAAAAACAAAACATCAAATATAATATCTTAGAAAATGAAGAACCACAGTTGGTTCCTTCATCCTGCAGAAAAAATATAAAACGCAAATTGTCAAGACAGACTATAAACCCGGCCACCAACAAACCAAGTATTAGAAACACACAACTAAGCAAAAATAAATTGTTTGTTGTAGAGTGTTCTCATCACTTTGGAAAAACCCTAAGGTACTTTGGATCGATCTCTTCATCTAAATTCTTCTCCATATGAATGATCTTGGGTATCTCACGTACCTCTAGTTGTTTCCCTTTGGGTCTGACCTTTTCTTGGACTTCTGAGACTCCCCCTTGGTTTTTGTGGGGCTATTCTCCAACCCACTTTTTCGACAAAGATGTCGAAGGAACATTGTTAGGGTAATTGTTGGTATAGTAGTTGCGAATGGTAACATGGAGATACCTATATTGCAGTAGAGGCCATTATGAAGAGTGTAAAGCAAAGAGAATATTGATAAAGAATGAACTCCTCAAGGCATGAAGTGACTTCATCCAAAGCAATAGAGGGCTCTCCAAGAGGGTTCTTAGCGGCATTCAGTGTGCGGGAGCTGATGGTCGGAGGTCGCGGTGTAGGACCCAAGGTATCCCCAATCTGATTGTTGACCTTAATTCCACAACGCTCAAGAAAACCCCAGATTAAGGAAAGAAAAAAAAACATATAGCTTTGGGTTTGCATGGCAAGTAACACAATATATATATATATATATATATATATATATATATATAATCAAAAGCAAAGCGGCTGCCGATCTCAGGCGACAAACTCGTTGAGTATAAATTGAGAGTCTCTATAAGTCACTCGATATTCAAAATATGAAGACTTTATAAGACCTTTTAAACTGTAAGACTTAGGGCTTTTTTTTACCATTATTTACAAGTTTTTTTACCATTATTTACCAAGAATTGATTGAGTTCAGTTTAGAGATTTTTATTTTTTCGGCATGGGAGCCTTGGAGATTTTTTATTATATTTTAATTTTTTTAATCTAGTTATATTTAAAATTTGATATATCCTAAATCAACTTTAAAAAATATAAAAAGCAACTCTAGATTTTAGTTATGACTAAATATTTTCAACTAATTAAAAAAAATCGAAATCCAAATAAAATATACCATAATTATTTTTTTAATATTCGTTACTTTTTCATAATATTCTAAGTATAAGATGGAATAAGATTATGAAAGTACCAATTAATATAATAGAAATACATTTTTTCATTTAATTGTGGATCAAGTATTATTGAACATAAAATTTAAGTGAATTTTAATTATTGTTACTATGTGTTATTATGTATTTTAAAAATAAGACATGAGATCGTTCAATCCGTTCTTCGGTACGGATATTTGTGAAATCTCCCCAACAATACCAGTTATTTTTTCTATTAGGTTTGTTTCGAAGAAAGTCAAACAATCAACGATTATTTTTCGGTTTGGTTCTCAAACAATTCAAAATTCTCCTAGTCTCATGCTCAAGCCTATAATTTTGCAACATTTTGAACCAAATTTGCGATACGGTCAATACAGTGGGGATTAAATTTTCAATTTCCTCTTTTTCAAACTAACAACTAACGGTGCATGCGACAATCCCGTTAGTTTTGATGGGGCCGGGCTCGAACCAATTTTGCAACAAAATTTCACAACGGACTAATTAATTTTGCAACTTTTGGGACCCATTTTGAAACTAACTCAATTCTATGGAACCGAAATAATAATTCTTTTGTAAATTAAACAAACTATATTCACAAACTTTAAAACTGAATGATATATAAACAGTAACCCGCGAGACTAACTAAGCAAGGTTACGCAGGTAAAGATGAACGTAAAATGTGGAGACGATAAAATATTAACATGAGTGTGATATGTTGGCCAAAGTTTTGGTGAGCAGAATTGGTTGAAGGTTGTTGGACGATTCCAAATATGGACCTTCACTCAGCTATTATTACCGTTCAATTGAATAATATGAGTAATATTTACACTTCTACTCCTAAATTCTTTCTTCTCTGTAGGGTAGTCGCAAATTGTGTCAGAATACAATGTACGTAGAATATGTTATCTCCTCTGTATATAATTTCAGAATGTGCTGAGTCTATGTGGCAAACTCTTATACTTCGGAATTCACAAAAAATCATAGTTTGGAATTAGGTTTGAATATAAATTAATGTTTTTTATCACGCTAAATTTATGATTGATTTTTTCCTTCTCTACTTCTACAATTAGTTACCATAAACTATTTTATGTTTTATTTTCCTACATTACCATACATCACATCTCATTTTCTTATATAATTAATTCATTAGTTTTTATAAATGTTTCTCTCATTAATTAAAACCCAAAGTAATGTTTTATATAAAATTAAACTATTTTAGTTTTTAAGAAAAAACAAAAAATTTAATATTTTTTACGAAAACTTTCTAATTCAACACCCGTGTCATACACGGGCATTGTATTAGTCCCCTCTATATATAATTTTAGAATACGCTGAGCCTACGTGGTAAACTCTTATGCTTCGGAATCCTATTTAGCAAAAAATCATGCTTTGGAGTTAAGCTTAGATATAAATTAATATTTGTATTAATTGTATTTTAATATTATTTCCTATTATAACCATTGAATTGCAAATATATTTTAAAAATTGATAACTATTGTATTTCTTATCGATTTACATATATAATATCAAATTAATCACCTTTTGATGAGTTTCGATTTTACATTAATATTGTATATATAAAATAAATAAATTATATTTATCATTGTAACAATAATAAAATTATTTATTAAAATTAATTAGAAAATTAAATTATTTATGTTTCATTTTCCTACATTACCATACATCACATTTTATTTTCTTATATAATTCATTCATTAATTTTTTTAAATGTGTCTTCTTCTTATAAGATTTTATATAACTTTTTTTTTGTATTTTATTTTTCATATATGATATATCAAATTAACTATCTTTTAACGATTTTTGATTTGATATCCATATTATATATATATATAAAATACAAAACAGTAATATATATCCTTATAAATAAAATTAAATTTATTTATCAAACTAAATTAAATTATATCAAATAAAACTATAAATTATATTATAGAGTAATAGAATACTTGATGTATTAGGCATCTAATTAAGTAAAAAAATTAATCAATTTTGCTTAATATTAAATAAACATATTCTACACTTATGCATATACATATCGCCATATTATTTTTATTTATTTAATATATATATATGTGTGTGTGTGTGTGTGTGTGTGTGTGTGTGTGTTTGTGTTTGTACTTATATAATAGAAAATAATATCGATATTTTTATATGATATAAGTAAAAAAATTAAGAAAAATGTATGGTAAATCTTTTGTTGGTACTGAGGGGCAAATAAGGAAAAGAAACACTCGAATATTGTCCTATAGCAATGACAATATTCCAACCCACATCAGCAAATTTATACAGTGTGATTCACACTATCTTTGTCAAAGAGTTAGCTGCAATTATCATTATAAACTACGACTAACACTAATGTCCTGCAGAAGCTTCTTCGTCAAGAATGTATGAGTCATTCATTGAAAACTATGGAGGCTAAGGCCATTAAAACCCACTCACCTGGTTTTCAATTTGCGCTACCAAAACCAATCAACCATGTCTATGTAAACAATTATCGACAGCTGGAGTTAGAAATATCAAATGGAGGAAAATCTTCCGCCCGGTTTTAGGTTTCATCCTACAGATGAAGAACTCATCACTTACTATCTGAGCAACAAAGTTTCTGATTTTGAGTTCACAACAAAAGCTGTTGCTGATGTTGATCTTAATAAGTGTGAACCATGGGACCTCCCAGGTAATACTGTTGCTTATTTTAGCTACTTTTAATGATATATATATATATATATATATATATATATATATATATATAATCTGGCTTCAATATTAATAAATGCACATAGTTTATTCAATTCTTGCTCATTTTGAGTTTGTTCATCTCATTAATTATCATACAAATTTATTCAATTCATGTATAAAGGAAGCTAGACTGTCACTGCATGTGTATTGTATGTGTGTGAAGTAATTAATAAAGTAATAATGGCAGCAAAAGCATCAATGGGAGAAAAAGAGTGGTACTTTTTCAGCCTAAGAGACCGAAAATATCCAACGGGGCTAAGGACTAACCGTGCAACAGAGGCAGGCTACTGGAAGACAACCGGTAAAGACAAGGAAATATTACGAGGCAATGTTTTGGTGGGCATGAAGAAAACACTTGTTTTCTACAGAGGCAGAGCTCCAAAAGGCCATAAAACCAACTGGGTCATGCACGAATATCGGCTAGAAAACAAGCCAGCCTTCAAACCCACCAAGGTGAAAATAATAATAATAATAATAATAATAATAATAATAATAATGACTTCATTGCATTTCTAATTCTGCTAGTTTAACATATAGCAATTTTAGTCTCAAAATTCTAACATTTCGTCTTTGGTCTTGTAATTTAATATTTTGCTGCAATTTTAGTCTTTTGAGAACTGAAATTGCAACAAATTTCCAATTTATATCTTTGGAATTTATTTTTTAGTAGTAATTTTAAATTTTGTTACGGTTTTAATCCTGTAATTTAAAATTTTGTTTTAATTTATGTTCTCAAATGATTGAAATTGCAGTAAAATATTAATCACGGGACTAAAAGGCAAAAATTTAGAATATTGGGACTAAAATTGCTAGGACATTAAACCAACAAGACTAAAAATGCATTTTTGACTAATAATAACTATTGGTGCTTATTGATATAGGTAGCTATGTCTGACAAAATTATATATATATTTAATTTGGACAGGAAGAATGGGTTATCTGCAGAGTGTTTGAAAAGAGCTCCACAGTTAAAAAGTGTGAACAACAGACGACTCGAGCAGTATCCCCCGAAATCATGCTAAACGATCAATTCGGAGGAGACGACGAGCTGTCGAATTTCACTACGAATAATGAGTTACAACAACAGCAGCAACAACAACACTACAACAACATGAACATGAACATGATAATGAGCAACTTGCAATCATTGCCCAATATCAACTCATTGCTTCTCACAGCATTGCAGCTTAGAGCATCAGCACATAATAATAATAATCATGTGAACTACTCTTTTATGCATATGCCTCCACTTGAACATTATTTCGACACTTCAACATCGAGGCCTGTCTCCGAATCACTCCCGCCGCCACCTATGGACGACCAAACCTTCAATGTTGAGTCCAATAATATTTGGTGAATGAAAAAAGATGTTGATAATTAATTAAGTAATTCAGCCAATTAGGTAGGTGGTGGTGGGCCAACTCCAATATCGTGTCTCAAATAAATCAACGTGTAATGGTAATCGTCAAACAACAGTTAGCAGTTATCCAATTTGACACAAGAAGGAAATCCTTCTTACATTGTATATTTGGTTGTGCTTTCTTTTCTATTTCAGTTTAATTGCAACCAAAATGCAAGAAAAGTTACATTAGTGTATTTCTTTTATTTTTTATTTTATTATTTTTTTTTTTAGCCGAACGCAAAAAGAATCAGTGTTGTTGCTTTAGTTGGTTTCAAATGGGTCAAAGAATGACATGATCCCTAAATGTAAAAGACCCCTAGTTTTCACTTGTAGAATGAATCCCGTAGTTTTCAATTAACTTGTCGACATTTCATTGTAAGCGAATAAATTTTACTTGTTGGAAATGTAAATTTAATTTCTAATTAACACAAGACCTATTGTTCGAATACATATGAATTGGTCATGCCAATCTCGTACAGGCTTAAGTCGAGGAGAAATTATTGCGTGAGCTCTCGCCACTTAATAGAAAATTACATAAAAATTATCTTTTCGAGCTCAACTCGTTAATCAAATGAGCTTTAAATGAGCTCGAGCTCAAGCTATATCAAAAACTATGCATGACTAGGCAGAGAAGATAGTATAAAATATAGAGTTTAGAAGAGGCCTACCGGTTTTATTGTGATTCATAGTTCAAAATTATTGGTTTAATACTCTGGCGGCAAAAAATAACATTACTGAAATTGAAGCTCTGTCCCAGCACTGAAGCAGGGGGAAATGGAAGATAGCCATAGCGAGTCCATCTTCGATTCGTTGAATTTGAACCCGCAGCTCTTCATCAATGAAGTTCTTAACATCGTCGACGATCTGGTCGACGTCGCTTTCAATTTCTTCCTCCAGTAAACCCCTCTCTCCATTTTGCTCCACACCACTCGTAACATTTTGTTGCTGTACTTAATTTTGCGATCTATTACAGGGAGGCTTCTATGCTGCTAAAAACTGAGGGCACAGATCGGTCTGCGGAGCTAAGCAAGGTTTTTTTTTAATGAATTCGTGTTTCCAGTTATGTTTGCCCTTTGGATTAGGGTTTCTGTAGTTTGTGTTTGTTTTTTGTGTCATTGATTTTTTGTTTTATTGCGTAGGGCATCTCATATGTTCGGAGTTTGATCCAGTCGACCCTGGACCAGCGTATGCAAAAATGGGAAGAGTATTGTCTTCGAGTTTGTTTCGGTGTACCCAAAGGATTCTCACTGCCGAAATCTGTATGTTTTCCAATCTGCATTCTTACATCCCCACATACCATGGTCAAGTGTTCTTTGGCCAGCTGGTGTTGTATCTAATGTCAGTTTCACTGCCGGAGTAATCGGCCTCATTTTTATAATTTGGTGATAATTACTTGGTATAGATGGACCTGACTGTTCAAAACTCCTTAATAAAGTATTTCAAAGTTTAATGTGTATTATTCTTATGCCAGACTCAAAAGAAAGAATTGAAGTATCCTTTTAGGTTGCTCAGATAAATTAGGCTAATCCTTGGCCCATGCTTATAGCTTCTTAGAGTTACTAGCTTGTCTTAATGAAATCAGGTGCTAAGATGATAGTAAATTTATTGTAAAGCATTACAAACAAGTACTGAAATTCGTGGAAATATTTTTAGCTGTTGCTATCTCTTACAGAATTAGTATTTGTGGTATATACTTGAAAATGATCTTTTCTCCTTCAACTTTTATAGTATCTACAACTAGCCTTCTGGAAATTTGTGATATCATCATACTAGGTTTTCCTACTGCTAGATAAAGTACCAGCTCGAAATATTACTATGATGTTTTCTTCAAACAACTGTCCTAATTCTCAAAGAACTCCATGAATTTCATTCATTTTTAATGTAACATGCAACCTAACTTAGGATATCAACAAAGTACTATATAGAACTTTTTGGGAATGGCGGTTTGGTTATCTTGAAATTAAAGGCGACAAATGGCTACCAATTGCTGTAAATGCTCGTGCATATGTTTAAAAGAAAATATGAACGTGTCAGAAGTAGAAGAAAATGGTTACATGATAGAGAAAGGAATGCACTTAACACAATGGAAGATCTATAGTCCTCGAGTATCTGATCTCCCTTTGAAATTGTTGGAATATCACTTGTGACTGCTGAGTTGTCTCACGTTGATTCTATAACCAAATGGGCCTAGTTCATAAGCCTAGTGGGCTACTCCTCCGATTACCAATTGGTTTTGGGATGGAACCTCACTTAGGTGTGCCTAGGCTCCCCCTCTTACGGTGTGCTTCACCTCTATGGGACCGCACCCTTCCCTGGAATCTATAAATCTAGCAGAAATATTACTATTGCATCTCTGTAGAGTATACCTGATCTAGCAGAAATATTACTATTGCATCTCTGTAGAGTATACCTTCCTGTGTAAATTTTGCCATATTAGACTTCCAGCCACCTCGAGCCCAAGTAGGAAATCACAAGTACTCTTGTAACAACTGAAACTCAATTGTAACCAGTTTTGAACTTTGATGTGATTCGGATATTAGTACTCATGAAGGTAAAGTCTCCAAAGTTGGCAGCTCATTTGAAGATAGCAAAAATTTGGTTCTCAAGTCTGACCGATGTTTCCTGCCTGCAGGGGGATTACAGTGATGACCTGTATCTGAGGCCCTTAGTACTTGTTTCCCAAGAAGTTTGCATTGTTATGGTGAGCCAAAAGCCAGGGCTATAAATGTAGTTAATATAAGTAATGCCTTCAGGTAGTTGAACCAAAATAGATTGAAGTTTAAAGTGGCTTAATGGCTATTGTTTGGTCCATGTTGTGGATAAGTACATGGGAAGAAAATAATCAGGTGTTATCCTGAATGAAGAATAAATGAAAGGAAGGATAGCAGAAATAGTCTTCGGCTAGGCATGAGAGTAGATTTCTCAAAGAACCTGTGTATCTTAGAGCCGCTAAGCTGATATGATTGATAGTTGGTTTCTGTATATTGTTCTCACCTCCAGTCTACATTTAGACTGAAATACTTTACTATGGTTGAACTCTATAACGTTTAATTTAACTGATTCTAACTAAATTTGAACAGTTGAAGCTAAATCCCCCTTTTGCAGTTGTGCCACTAGACTGACACTTAGACGTAAATTCTCACTATATTTTGCAGGAGTTTTCTGGGGATGATTTACCAGAACTTGATGCTTTCACCGATGCAGAGCTAGATGAGCAGTTGAATTCATTGCGTGACAGACTTGCTTTGGTACATGCTCTCATTTAAGTCATAAAACTTTATTTGGTTGGGTGCAATTTATTTGCGTACTGATTAGTTATATCATGTCCTCACCAAACTCTTAAATTTCTGAATAAGGTCGGCAAAGAATCTGCTGAGCTTGGCAGAAAAGTTTGTGCACTGGAGGGGCAGTCTTTTTCAAGCAAACAGTCTGCTGAGTCCATTGATGAAGCATTGCAATCATACTTGAAACAAGATGCCACTCTATTGTTCCAAGGTACTGAAGTTTATTTTTGTTAAGTAAAAGTGAAAACTTCTCAGTTATATTGAAAAAATAAAGGGTCTTATGTGACTGTTTGGGATAAGACTCTTTTACTCACTGTGAATGAATTCTATTTTCTGGCAAATTATAGAAATAAAAAGAATAATGTCTGCAAATGCATTATATTTCTGGGACACTTTGTTGGGTTGAGATATAATGTTATATACTTAATATCGGGTCCATTTGGGCAGAGTGACTTATTTATGTATGTATGTATGTAAGATTTATGGTAGATACTAGATACTTTAGATCCTCACATGGCTTTACGACTGAACGATCATTATTTGCTGTGTCACCCTCTTGTTCCTCCAATTAATTAATCTTTGTTCTCTTCTTGCACGCGGCAATCTCTTCTTCTTTTTCTTGATTTATCAACTTCTGGTTTTACACGCTTATGGATCCCAGTCAGATTTATGTCTTTGTAATAAAGTAGATTCGACAAAGTTGTGTTCTAGAAAGAGGTCTTTGTTGGCCAATCAATACGGCAGTCTTATGCCACCTTAGCCTCTCAGATATGATTTAATTTCCTTAGCCCTGTGTAAGGTCTTGGGTATGCATACTTGGCCCCAGGTAAATTTTAATGTTTGTGATGTAGATAAGTATGATTAGGTATGCATGTACTGCAGTACTAAGCAAACAGACTGAAAGCTCAAATTTCGTCCTTCTGGCCTGTCTAATCAATAGCTTGTTTTATTTTTGCATAACATGAGTCGTTTTTTTAGAATCAACTAGGAAGTTGCACGTACGACACACATAATTAATAACTGTTTTGATTTAAAAGTTATATTTTTATTGAATTTATGCTTAAAATTTAAAATTTTCCTTTAACTTAATAAAGAGGAAACACATAGTCAATAAATTATATAAATGTATTTGCACTGAAATATAATCCTTAATGTTATTAATTAAAAGCTGTAATTAAATAAATAAAGATGTGTTAAAAATCCAAAATTGAAATCAGTCGATTTTTCTATGATTGTTGATTGCTAACGAAGTCTCACTTATCTATCATCTGTCAACTAATATTGTTTTCATCAAATTTGAAATCATGATCATTGTTTATAACGATTAGATTTAATTGTTAATTCAATGTTAATTAACGTCGTTTGAATGTTTTCTCTTACTCTTATCTTTGATATATTTGATATATTCGTGTGAATGATTTAAGCCAAGATAATCATGCATACACAAATGTAAATTTCTTATTTTAAACTATTAATCCTTTAGTAAAAAGTATATATTCTATAAATAGAAATTTTTTTTTTTTTAATTTCTAACTTATTAAGAAAAAAGATTCCGAATATAATATTTAAGTTCACCTTTAATAATACACATGATATATATCTATTTTATGCTAATATATATTGAATGTATCTTAATTCAAAGCTAATTAACGTTGTTTGGAATCTTGTGCTATATCTTTCAATTATTGTTGTTACAGTGAGACAATATTTTTTTTTACTTAATTTTGGTCGATAACATATAAAACTTGAAATCTGAGGTATGCACTTCACCTTTCTTAATACTTAGATTTTTTTTCCTAAATAGTGCGTAGCCCGTGCGATGCACGGGAAAACAATATTACGATTGTATTATAAATTAAATATATAAATAACACTAATCATAATTTATCCATTATTTTTAATTAAATCGGGTTGGACGCAGTCCGACCGGATGGACCGAGAACCGTTTATAACTAATCTAGTTCGCTTGAATAAAATATTTGCTCTTGAATCCGTCAACACCACCAGTCGGTTGGACTGGTAGGATCGATACAATTTTCTAAATAAATTTTATTATATTTCAAATTATTTTAAATAAAATTACATATTTAAATAAAATAGAGATTTATAAATTATTTATCAACTAGTTTAAACATTTGAAATTATAAATTGTTTAGATATCTAAGTAACACATTTTATTTAAATTTATTACAAAAAGTATTATATATATATGTATATATTAAAATGTTTATAAATTAAAATCTGAACAAATCACAAATGATTTAGTATAATAACTTGATCTTTTCGATGACGGTCCAGTTCTGAAAACCTTATATTTACTGTACATTAATAAATATTATAATAAAATATTATTTAATTCACATAAATATTAATAAAATGATATATAAATATTCATAAATCATTTAACATGTTATCATAAAAGTATTGTTAATACGATTATTTGAAGTTTGGACTACATTACATTCACGTAATTAAATATTTTCATTATAAAATTTATGTTTAGGTTCATTAATCGATTTGGTGGGGTCGAACTGATAAATAACTTAGTCACCTGGGATCAACCAAGTTGTGTCAAATTTTTTAACTATTTTAAATATCACCTAAAAGTAATTCAATCAACCTGGGCAGTACCCTAATTCAATCACCCGATTGATCTGAAGAAATTTTCTTATTTTCTTTAAATATATTTAATTTTATGAAATAAATTTTTTTATGATTCATATAATAAATGTCTACACCAAATGATAGTATATCAAGATTATAAATTATATATCTAAAAGATGAATTAAATATTTTTATTTTATGCATATTACTAAAAAATAAACATAGTAATTTTCAAAAAATTAAGATTAATTGATTGATTAGGCAATTTAAATAATATTTTTAGCCTTCAATATTTTTTTTTTGAAGGCACAAATATAAAGACCGAGATTCTAAAACTTTTGTTATATTTTGAATTGAGATTTTATAAATATAGAGGCCGAGATTTTAATGTTGTTCGTTGTTTGTAAGAAATAAATAAAAATAAAAACATACACACTTAATAAATCTTAGCTGAATTTTTTAAATAATAAAATAAACTAATCCGAAACTTAAAGTAGCATTTAATGTTGTATGATTTTTAAAGAAAAAATAAAAAATAATAAAACTTACTATTTATAGGCTGCATTAAATTCTGACCTATTTTTTTACTATTATTTTTGGTAAATGGTAATTCTTATTATATATATATAGATATAGGTATAGATATAGATGATACAAATATAAAAATCTATTTGAAAAGTAATATTGAACAATAACATGATTGATACTTAATATATAAAACAAAATATATACAACCAATGTGTTTATCAAACATCAGTACATATTGATTACTTTTTATATGGAAATTCAAGACTATCTTCAAAATTAAAAAAAGTTCAATGAATTATAAATTAATGGTTCTTTTATGTAATACTTTTATCTTGACATAATAATGAGCATTGGTCCAAACGATAACTTTGGATCTTATATGAGCTCATTGTCAAAAAGGAACCTTGTTGATACAATTCTATCAATGTAGTATCTTAAGTTTTCTCATCGTTTAGAAAATCGAACCTGCCGGTCCTGCCGATTGGACCGAGAACAGGTTATTTGACTGATCCGATTCGCTGGAATGAACCGATTGCCAGTGAACGATCAAAACCGGTCTGTTGGATCGGTTTGAAATGGTCCATCTTTTTTAAATAAATTTTAATATATTTAAAAATTTGTCTAATATAAACAAAAAAATACATATTTAAATATAATGGATATATATATATAAGTTAGTTATTAGTTACTTTAAGTATTTCAATGTTTTAAAATTGTCTAAATATTTATTTAACAAAGTTTTTATATAGCTTTTATCATATTAAATATTATATATTTGCAAATATTAATAAATTAAATAACGGTCTAACCGGTTCAACCACTGGTTGGACTAATGAACCATTGAACCAGTAACTTGACCAGTTCGGTTTTCAGAACTTTGAGTTTTCCCAAATTGCATCATTTCAAGTCCCCATATATTATAATATTGTTAATAATAGTCGTAACAGTTTTTAAATGAATATGACATTAGTAATGTTACAAATAACATTGACCATGACATCGAATGTTAAGTGAACATATTCATCATTTCATTTAAATGTCTCTAATGATAACTATTTTGCAATTAGATGTATATAATAAATTTATTCTTTCGTCGCATAATTGTTATTTTATTTTATTTTTGTAATAATTGTAATCTTTCATTCCTACTAAAATTAAAATAAATGATATATAAATCCAACACATATTGGTATAGAGAAATATTTATATTATGTGTAGTATTGAAAGATGAACTTAAATTATATTATTCAGAATCTTCTAAAATTTTAATTATCTCAAAAAATAATAAAAGCAAAAGTAACCTTAATAACCACAAAGAATAATATTATTAATTTATTATTTAATTAACTTACTATCAGTAGATGAATTGAATAATATGATCCACAATACTTTTAATAATAATTTAAAAACTATTTCTATTGTTAGATTATATATTCTTTTACTAAATAAAAAAATAAAATAAAAAAAATTATATCAGGAGGATTATACTTGGCGTTTATCATTTTTAAAGATACAATACTTGATACTACTATTTTTTAATTTAATTTTATTGAAAAATGAGCAAAATTTATTGAAAAATGAAAGTTAATATTTATAACTCCCTAGATTAGTAACCTTGGAAATTAATTATAGTGAAGGGCATTTTTGGCAATCCAACATTTTTGACAATCCATTTTTTTCATGAAACAACTCCCTTTTAAGAGAGTTATAGATAGATAGGTGAAACATTATTGATTTCCCAGTTTCTGGCTTCCATTAATTGCTTGGGTCTGAGAATCAGTTGATAATCACATTGTTATATAGCACGTGATGGATTGTTTATGCCTGCAGACCTGACAAACATGGCATCAGAGTTTCGTGCAAGATTGCTGAATTTGAAAAGGAAAAGGATCGAGGAAATTCAACGCGATCGAGAGGGCAGACTGCGTGCAAGGCTTGTTGATGATGTGCTCAGGATGCCTCGTGGAAATGGTAACTCTGCAATTGTTTGTTTAACTTCTACTTGTCTAATGATTTTAACGGAAGATTGCAAATATCAACATCCGATAATTGATAGTTGATTATGGCTTTTAATTTTGTAGGTCTGTTTGTTGCAGACCTGGAAAAACTTCAGGACTTTTTGGATGAGATAACGACGTCGTAATTAGCTTTTGCCTTGTGTGAGGACTTGGACTTGGACTCATCGTTGTTGTTATTAGTCTTATGACGTATCGAATCATGGGTGTGATTGGATATGAATTTGATTGGTTTTTACTAGTTTTTTATTAATCATAGTTAATTTTAAAAAATGTGGTGTTGTTGTTAGTGAGAATTTAAGTTTACACTAAAATAATATTTAAAATAAAATAATTAAAGTTAATTTGATGTAACAGTAAGAGATATATGATTTGAAGTGATAGTTAATTAAAATTATATAAGTAGATGAATAGTGAAATAAAGTTGAGGTGATGTCTAATGATGATTGATTAGTATTATTTAATATTTAATTATCTATATATATATAATTACTAGCTAATAGAATTTAATAAAACCTATTTAATTTTACCTATGTGGCAATTTAACAATTTTCCCTCCAAAAACCGTTACATTTTGATATATTTAATCTTTCATTTAATCATTAAATAATTAATACTCATCACTTCAAAATTACAAAAATCATTTTATACTTTTGATTAATGACAGTTGACCATATAATGTGTTGACCGTATAATGTAATTAGATGTTATTATTGTTGTTACGTTTAATTTTTTTTGAAAATAAAAAATATATTTGAAATTCCTAAATAAATAATAAATAATTCACAAATAAAAGACGTACCAAAATATACATTACATCCAATCAGATAAACGCAATTTTAAAAAAAAATTTCAACTCTTTTAATTGTAAATTTGGTCTGCAAAAAAGTGAAAGAAAAATAATTAATCATTATATGTACAGACTCACAATAATTTATTTATATCTGTGCAAATGCACAGGTCGAATACTAGTATGGATAAAATTGAGAATAATGAAGTTAGGTTAAAGTTGAGTTAAATTTGAATTTAAATTTTTTTTTACTTTTTGCAGGCAATTAGATTCATCTAAGGATTCATCTAGGAGTATAACTTTTTGCAGGCAATTAGGATTTCTAAGGATTTTTTAAGATTTTATAAATCCTGGTGTATTTAATTTAAATTTGTTAAGATTTTTTAAGACTTTTAAAAATACTGGAGTATTCAATTGGAATTTTAAAAAAGTCTTACAAAATCATGAGGTATTTAATTTATTTGAAAATAGGATTTGTTAAGACTTTTTTAAGATTTGGTGGGAAACCTTGTATCAAATTTCACTTCAAATCCTACCTCAACGCATTCGAAAATTATATATCAGAGGATTAATATTATGATTTAGATATAAACATGAATCTATCGAACGTGATTATAGGAGCAGAATTTCATCTTAGAATTTCTGTAATAATGTTATTGCAGTAATATGCTCATACTGCCATGTAAAAGGACAAATGAAAACAAAGGAATCAATCAAAACTTGATTGTGCTGCACCAGAAAGTAACTTAAAACAACCAAAGAAGACAAGTTGAGAACTGTAAGCCTCCACACCCCCCACCCAACAAAGATATATGGGAACCAATTTCAATAAATAAAGAATGCATATTTACTACTCTTTTCATCTCACAGATGAAGAAGGTCAGATATCTGGTTCCAGCCGACAAACCAGTGCCTCCTGTCAGATGGAAGCACGAAGTTAAGCTCGAACATCTCTTTTGACATATTCCCGCCTTCACAGAACCCAACAAGCTTCGCTACAATCTCGGCACTCTCTTGTACATGCCTCTCGTCATGTGGATTTGTCCACAGCTTGCTTATGAACTGCATTCTCCTTTGCTTACCCTCCAATGGCACTTCCCATTTCTTGTACAGCAAATCTCTTTCCTCGGCTGTCAAGCGAGTAGTTAACCTCTTCGCAAGAAACTCTCTCTCCCGTTTCAGTGCTCTCAGACTGATCACACAACAACAATATCAGAATAAAAATAAAAGAAGAAAAGAAGCCCGAATTTCATACTCCTATATCACCACAATTACTAGTAGCCACTAGTTGTGATTGATTCCCCTTTTCTTTGATATGTGTATGTGAGAAATAGGATAGATGTCTGAGTAGTTTTTAAATTTTCACGATGCAAACCAAATAATTTTTCTTATTATGTACGGAAAGTGAGAAATGCGAGGAATAAAGGCTGACTAAAAATTAGCAAATGTTAACAGAACCTTGATGATAAAGAGACTGTGGGCTCGTTTCCTACTGGAGCTGGGCTGGCGGATCCAATCTCGACCAAATGCTGCTGCAGCCATGACAAACGTCTAAGCTCGACTTCCATGTATATCTGATCTGCAGAGTCCCCTTTAAATAGAAGATAGAATTGTGTCCGGTGAATGATGGACACGTGGCAAACATCCCACAACTCAATGATCTGTTGCCTCTGCTCCTTAAAAGCCACTTGCCAGCATGCTGGTGAGTCTTCTTGTATCTCGCCAGCATATGTATCGTCCTCCAAATTGTATCCGGCAGCTTCATTTGCTTCAAGCTCTAGCACCTGAAATCATAATGGCGGCACCAGATAATGTTTAGAAGGTACACTTCTCGTAAATGGAGTGCAAGAAGAGTTGCTTCTACTGAATGTGTTATTTATTTATTTTATTTTTTTTGGAAACTTTTGTTACGACTGACAATATGGATGAACAAGGTGAAGAAAACAACAAAATTGGAGGAAGAATGAATGATTGAATTATTAATGTATCAAATTCAAGATGAAATAATTAAAAGTTAATGTGATATAAAAATAGTAAAATAATGATTGAGAAATGATCGGTAGTTAGAAGTATACTATTAAATGAATTGTATTTAACACGATATTTGTAGTGATAATTAATTTTTTGGATGGTATACATTAAAATGAGGTTTAAACTTGAAGGAATATTGCAATTGCAACTTCACCACCAATTTGCACTAGAAATTTATTAAAGAGAGAAAGCTACACCATCATACTAACAGATGTACAGAAGAACAAAGAATCTCACATTTCGAAAGAAGATAGAAAAAAGAAATAATGATTAGAAAGAACAGTAGTTACCTGGCACACAAGAAGTTGTTTCTGGTACTGCAGCTTGGCCACACGTTCCTTGAGTTCAGTCACATACGCCTTTATGCTTCTCACATTCTCTTCCGCCGCATTCTGAAACATGCGCTGCATTTTCTTCATATTGACCGAACTCGAACGGCGGTACGGAGTATTCTCCTTGGATGACACCTCTCCCCCTTCGCTCTTCATCGGTGTATCCTTCTCAACCGCTTGAGTCTCTCCAGACACAACATCGTCATCATAAACCGGAGCTCGGTTTTCGATATCTGTGTTCGACACCACTTGACGAGAGGCCGACAAAGGTGAACATGGAGATCTTATCAGGTTATGCCTGTTAAGACTGTTGCTCGAAGCCAATGGAAGCAGTTTCTTCTTTCTAGACCCACTCTTTTCAGCATTTTTGTGCTCGTCCTTTGACTGCTGGTGGTCCCCGCCTTGTGGGAGGGACATTACAAGCTTGTCTATGGACTTCTGCACGTTTTCGAGCTTCTCCTCGAGATCGGCTATGGTGCTTCCTTGCGAGTGAAGTCTGGTGATCTCGTCCTTGAGATTCGCGCTCAAGCTCTTGTTAACGGAGGTGAAAGCATTCTCAACTCCAATTTCTTTACAAGAAGTAGGGTTGTTGGGCTCGGCCGCGCGCATGCCTCTTATCTCTGCTTGAAGCTTGGCAATAGTTTCTGCTGCATCTTGATTGCCTTGTCTGTGACAAGCAACTTCCTTCTGTAGCACCTCAAGGGCTCGGTTAGCCTCCTCACCCAGCTGTTCCTGGAGATGCTCAAGTTTCCGAATTTCGTGCATCAAAGTGAAAGGAGCGGTTGATGATTGCCTCATAGTTTGCCTTCCAGCTGTGTTCCTTGTTACCTGATCAATCCCCTCGTGTTTCAGCAGTAAGTTTGTCGAAAACGAGAGGCATTTCTTTGCAGGGGGAATTGGAAACTCAGATACTTTTGCCCTCTGTTTTACATGTAGAATTTTTTTGAATTAACACAAGAATAAAAAGAAGAAAGAAAAAAATTGTTCCTGTGCACAAGAGTTAAATTGCACCTGCTCTTCCTCGAGTTTCCTACGCAAATCATCGACCTGGGACTGTGCTAAATCCCTCTGGCGCCTCAATTCTTCCATTTCCATCTCCATCTGAGCACATTAAATATATATTTAACTTCTACCTCATGAAAATTCTTTCGGTAATTAGAAACTAGAGCTATGGGAATCAGTTGTAGCTAACCTGACGAATTTTGACTTCTTTCTCGCTGGAGGGGTCCGGTGTGCGGAGCTCTGCTTCCAGCCTGGCTACCTCCTTTTGCAAATGCTTGACGAGCTGCTTTTCAGAAATAACCTGCTCCAAAACCAAATATCAATGAACAAACGCATCCAAAAAATTCTGTGAGGTATGGTAGGTGAGTTCATCATCGTGGGACGGCTACCATGTTCACATGAGCATTGTTCGTGACTTCCTTTGCCCGGGTAGCGAATAAGAGGGTGTTTCGAGACTGTTCAGCATGGCTTGATGCTGGACTCAACGTGCATATGATGGCAGTCCGGGCATTTCCTCCAAGCGAATGCTGTAGTATCCGTGTGAGCTTTGAATCTCGATAGGGTATGTGACCACTTCTTTTTCCAACACTGGAAAGACAATTAAGTATGTTATAGTACAATAAATTGACTCGAGGTATTCATGCATTTAGAAGTGGATAACTGGAAAAAATCTCTCACAGTACAATAAAGTTTTATTGGGAAACATCAGTAGCAAAAAGTAATAAATAGATAAACAAATTATGAGAAATGAAAGAAACTAAAAACATGTTAAAAGTACAACTGAGGTTATACATTTTCATACTTCTGCAATTAAATAAGAGAATGCACTAGAAGAACCTCAAACTATGCTGGTCGAGACAGGAAAAGGTTGAAGAAATATTCCCCTTCTCATTAAATATGATAACGTTAAAAAGAGAGAAATGGATCGCTGTGGTGCATACATGGTTATGATGATCTACTACTATATGGCAAGAAAATGTATAAATCTAAGAGAGGAAGTTTCCTAGACTTCTGTAGTGATCTATAGAGTTTTATTTCTAAAGGGATGCTAATGCTGACCTTAGCTTCCTAATTACAGTTGTAAGAGTCATCAAGCTAAGATTAATATGACAGCCTTCCCTAAGCCTGACACCTTCTGCATTCGTCTGTGAGGCCCGTTCACTTCCAGCTAAATCTACAAAG